AACATGATTTCGACTTCGAATGGTTGAAAAAAAAGGTAAATAGTTAAATAGTTAAACAATGAGGTGTATTTTCATAAGGGAAAGTATATAATGAGACTATTTACCTTTGGTATAAGGTGGTCACAATTAATATTGACCATTAGATGTGAAATTGGGTGGCTGCATTTATTTCATTGACTAAGCTCAAAGTTTAAAAGAATTTTTTCGAACTTTGTGACATACCCATGCTATCAGATTTCACATTAGATGGTTGTAAGTATTGTGATCTTCTTGTACCAAAGATAAATAGTATCATTGTATACAAATCCGTTTTCATAAATCTCTTATTTTCAGTCATTGTGTATTTTCATAAATGTCCTATTTTCAAAATAAATCTGTATTAATTTCTAAAGTGCACCGAACATTTTCAAAATTAGGTAGAAATGCCTCCACAACTATGGGAACTTATTTAGGAACTACATTTGTGATATTAAGAAATTAAAAAATATGCGTTCCATATGTTTGTACACATGTGTCACATATTTAATGTATCTAAACATGCCTAATATACACATTATTTTAAATTTTACTTATTTTATTTCTAGATATACACCTAAAAGGCTTTTGTCAAATAGGCACTTCCCTTTGACAGCAAAAAACGAAAGCCCTCTAAAATGCACAACTTTAATTTGGCCCATTAAAATGGAAACTCTGGCATTAAAATCGATCATCCTAATTTCGAGATTTATGAATATATAAAAATAAAAATAAAAATAAAAAATATTTGAATTCATAAAAACAAGGGATTGCATACAATGAAACCATTTACCTTTGATACAAAGTGGTCGCAATTACTTATAACTATCTGATGTAAAATTCGATAGCTTGGGTATGTTACAAAGTTTAAGAAAGTTTCTTTTAAAGTTTGATCTTGGTCAATGGAATAAATGCTATCACCCAATTTCACATCCAATGGTCAAGAGTGATTGTGACCACCTTGTACTATAGGTAAAAGGTCTTATTCTATACTTTTCCTAAAAACAATGCATCTGGTAACTATTATCTGGAAAATCCATTTTTAAAATTTTTAAGTGTTTATAGATCTGGTCCGTCATTTTTTAGTTCTAAAATTTCACAATTATGGGTGTATACATATTTTCAATATTAATGCAAGGCTTTCTAGCACATTGTTGCATTCTTTGGCATGATTTGGAAGTGTGCTTGACATTTATTGCGCAAGGTGGGCACCTTATGCAAACCACCCAAAATAAAGTAAGGAAATGTATACAATAAGACTATTGACTTTTGATATAAGGAGGTCACAAATATCATTGACAGCTAGATTTGAAATTGGGTGGTTGTGATATATTTTCATCTATTGGATTTCATATCCAATTACTAAAAGTGAATATGACCTCCTCGTACAAAAAATAATCTCATAGTATATCATCATCATCATCATCATCATCATCATCATCGCCAATGGTCTTTTTCCATATAATTGGGGTTGGCTACATAAATCCTGTTATACCAGTATGCTCTATTAAAAGTCATACGCTCAGTGAGGCCATAAATCAGATCTTTTCTCATGGTATATAATTCCGAAAAATAATATCGTCTTATACTTTGTGTATCAATGATGGTCAAATATCAGTAGTATTTTCAAGTATAATGACTGCTACATATTAATGCAAAGGAAAATTTTTTGGCTAGCAAAGATTGAATAATAAAGGCTTCTTTATTTCTGAAGTTAGTTCATTTGTTGATATATATGAATCCTCATTTTTTAACTCAAGTTACAATCCAATCCAATGCAACTGTCAAAGTTGGGACCAAAGGAGTGCAATAACTTGAAGAAATATGAATCAATATCGTTACATTCGCTTCAGAGCTATACCCTTAGTCAGGTTATAAGTCCTCATATCTCTTTTCATAGTATATAATCCCAAAAAGTAATATTGCCTTATACATTGTGTGCCAATGATGGTCAAATATCAACAATATTTTCAAGTATAACGACATCATATCGATGCAAAGGCGAATTTATTGGCTAGCAAAGATTGAATAATAAAGGCCTCTTCATTTATGAAGTTAGTTAATTTGCTGATATATATGAATCCCCATTGTTTAACAAGTTACAATCCAATCCAATGTAACTGTCAAAGTTAGTTGAGACCGAAGGAGTGCAATAACAAGAAGAAATATGAATCAATATTGTTAGATTGGCTTCATAGTCTTTTTCAAACCAATATTGTTAGATTCGTTTCAGAGTCTTTTCGGTTTGATGAGAAAAATGAAGCAATTTGGTACTTCGGCCGATTCAAATGAAGACTTCGAAATTTTTTGAATTTAAAATAAATAAATTAGATATTTATATAAAATATATAAAACTAATGAAAAATATTAAAAATACTTTTTTTAAAAAAAAAAACTTTTATATAAATATTTCTTTGCTTCGGACGAAGAGGCCAAGTCATCTTGAAGTAGACCCGAATTTGACTAAAGCGGCCCAAATCTGACTGAAACAGCAACATCAAGATTCGCTTCATGTAGGTCTAGGCCTAAAATCCAAAAGATTCGGGCTTTTCAGCTGAAGCGAAGTGCATTTCACAACACTGATATGGATGTCTGTGTGAGAGAGAGTATAGTACTAGTCAAAAGTACAAAATACATAAGAGAAAGAGTAACCTTGTGAAAGAGAGAGTAATAATAGACAAAATGAGTACTAACAAGAGAGAGAGACGTACCCACACTAAAAGTAAGAGACTCGTAAATCCAATAAAAACTTCCATTGCTAACTCAGAATTTAAATATGGTTATGTGGGAGTTGTGGATAAAATTCAGCTATTTATGGTTAAAAATATAGCAGCAATTTATTGTTGCTCGTAAATGCACAAAGCCTTTTTTACAAATGGATAGAAACATGCTTATTTTGCTGTTATACCACTCAAAAAAGTCAAATCTTTTATTTATTTATCTAAAATCAAATTAATACTATTTTTTAACTTACCAATAAATTGCCATTAGATGTTTTACTATCTATAAAACGCAATCTTTCATGAGAAGTGCCCATGTATCTTATATTCCTGCACAAAGACAACTCTATAGGTTAAATGCGTAATCAATCTTAACTTAATGTCAAAACCTTATATAAGTGAATGCCAAAACCTTTCAGAAATAATAAATGATGAAGGAAGATTTTGATAATTCGATATTGATATTTATGAGCTTGAACTTTTATCTGTAAAGAGGGATTACCTGCATCTTGTTACTTACTACTATTGATTGTTTTAGGGGTGGGATTTACTTACTGCTATTGATTTTTTATGGGTGCGATTTGTATAAGGGTGCAATCTTGAACAATCCAATAAAGGCGCACTTCCAAATTGTATCGTAACATATAATTTTGTTGTAAATTTTTTTTAGGATTATCTTAAAATCTATTTTCACATCTAATTAAAAAATTTTAAACTCCAAAAATGATTAAAATAGAAGATTTATAAACATATGAAAATCTTCAAAATGGACGGTCTAGATAATGTGTTGCAAGATGCAGACTCAAAAACCTTATATATATATATATTCATATATCTCGATGTCGAGATGATCAAATAAAAAGTTTTTCAACATTAAAATAACCTTTTCGATATAAATAATTTTTAAAATTTATTTATTTTTTCATATTCATGATCTTCCTTATGTCCAAAAAAGGGCGACTCACTATCCGTGCAATCATTAATAGATTTTTTAAAGTTGGTGGGGTCGATGTTTTTTCAATAAGTAGGGATTATATTATTGAGGAGACAGGTCCAAGTGCCTCTTTACAGTTGGTGGGGTGGGTGTTACTTACTACTATTGATTGTTTTAGGGGTGGGATTTACTTACTGCTATTGATTTTTTATGGGTGCGATTTGTATAAGGGTGCAATCTTGAACAATCCAATAAAGTCGTACTTCCAAATTGTATCATAACATATAATTTTGTTGTAAAATTTTTTTAGGATTATCTTAAAATCTATTTTCACATCTAATTAAAAAATTTTAAACTCCAAAAATGATTAAAATAGAAGATTTGTAAACATATGAAAATCTTCAAAATGGACGGTCTAGATAATGTGTTGCAAGATGCAGACTCAAAAACCTTTTTTATATATATATTCATATATCTCGATGTCGAGATGATCAAATAGAAGGTTTTTCAACATTAAAATAACCTTTCCGATATATTTTGAAGTACACATGTAATTCAACATATGAAGGGTGAAACCTTACATAAATTTTTCCCTTGTTTTATTAAGGGGAAAGGTCCAATTGCGTTTATCGAAGGCGGTTCCATTTTCACGCAACAACAATAATTCAAGTGCTTCCAATCTCATTAAAAATAATCTTTCCTATAGATTTTGAAGTGCACATGTAATTCTACATTTTGAAGGTTGCAACCTTATATAAACTTTTCCCTTGTTTTATTAAGGGAAAATGTCTAATTGCGTTTATCTAAGGCGTCCCCATTTCCACGCAACAACAATAATTCAAGTGCTTCCAATCCCATTGTCTGAAATAGAATTTTTGTTTTATTAAGGGCAAAGGTCCAATTGCGTTTATCGAAGGCCGTCCCATTTCCACACGCAACAACAATAATTCAAGTATTCCCAATCCCATTGTCCGAAATCGAATTTTAATTTTCTTTTAAAGGACGCCCTTAGCATGCCCAATTCCGCACATGCGGGCCCTTTAATAAATATATTTTTGACGTAAAATTTGATCCTAATTTTTAAAAAATATACAATCTTTAGCATTAAGATCATCAAGTTGAAAAATAAATAAAATTTACAAACTTGAAATAATAAGTGTATTAAGAATATATTTAGACCATTAGTTTAAGTTGTTTTTTGATGGATCACCTATTTGCATTCATTTTTAACATGAATGCTTTAGACCTCTTAACCGCTCTTAACCGTATATTGTACAAATGCGGTCCAGCCCACATGATATAATTGTTCTTTTAAAATGTTGCCCGAAATGAAAATATAGCCTATAAATATGGGCACCATGTCGCATGGCCATTGCATCTCATGTACAATGGCAATCCCCATTCAGAGCCTCTTCTCCTTCTTCTTCTTCGTGTTGGTGAGTCTCTCTCTCTTGGTGTGCCTCTCCCTCCCTCTTTAAGCACATAAAAGAACTAATTATTTTAGTGCACTTCTTTTCTCTTTCTAGTAATAACATTTAACTGCTTCTTCATGTTGTTGCGCAGCCCCTTTCGGTCTCTCCCATTTATTTATTTTTTTGGCAAGAAGCAACTGTTAGCGTGAAAGCCATCGCGCTAATGCGCATCCATTTTGTTGCTTTTCTTCACTAGCTCGAAAGCAACAAGCAATGGCTATCTTTTACATGGGCTCGCCGTGCATTTGTAAAGAGAGAATAGCAGTGAAAAAAAGAAAAAAGAAAGTCATGTCCATTGAGATTGTCGCTTTGTCTCACATACATAGTGTATATGAAGAGCTTATCGTTTATCGTATTTATTAAGAGGGGAGTGTTTCAATGCAACTCTTGCGTAGTAATATACTGCAACAACCTTCAAAAGCCATGTTAAACCCATTTGTTTAACTCCAATTTTTAAATATACGATTGTTTTCAATCTAACGAATGATCACAAAAAAGAACATTTTGAAAATACGCCCCAAAATATGTTTTTTGAGGCCAACTAATATAGGTCGTCCATTTTAATGAGATGCTTAGATCAAGGCTTTAGAAGGATTTTTTTTATTTCCAAAATTTTTAGATTGCTTTAGTATCATTAGATTAACAATGCTAAAAAAAAAAAATTTGATTTTGAATTTGTAAAGGTCAAGATCTTAAAATTCACCAAATAGATGGTCGAAATTCATTGTTGGAGGGTACTCATTTTGATTATATCTTGAGTGAAAATTAAATTTTATTTTTTTAGTATTGATTATTAGGATGAAGGGAGTGGGTGTGCAAATTTTGGGGTGATACAAATGTATTAAATATGATTTTCTAAAAATGTTGTTACATTATATTAAAATATAACCGTTGCATGAAATCATTCCCCTTATGTGAAGATGAAATCACTCCCCTTATGTGAAGAGTTTTACTACCTGAGTTCTTATCACTTTAGTACTAAAATTTAAATTGTCCATTGAGGTTGGCTCATGCGGGTGTTTATTTATTTTTTTGGAGAGGTGGGGTGGGGGGATTCTAGTATTTTCTCCATTTTTCTAGTTTGAGCTCATGATCATGATGGGCTTTTAAAATTACATAAAAAAGTATGGGTAAAATGTGAAATAATCCATGTTAGATATTTTTTAATAAAAAATCGCTTTTGGGATAATCCATCTTAGGTATGTTACTTTTTTTTACCTGAGGGAATTTTTGTACAATATGCTCATATGACAACAAGCTATACGGTAAACTCATTATACTTCTCCACCCATATATATTTCTTTCCTACATCCCCATCTCTCAATTTGAATGGATGGTTAGGATGAATTGAGAGATGGTTAGGATGGTCCTAAACACAATGTCATGCCTATACATTGTTTTATTTTATTATTTTTTGCACAATATTTTGACACAAAATTTGGGGGATCAACTCCTCTCTTAAACTCGCACCTGCCAAAAATAAGTTATGAAAAATTCATGCTAAAATAAAATGACAAAAAAACCCTTGAAATTTTTAGGAGTATTTTGGTCATTTTATATTTTGAAAATATTTTTTAGTATATTTTCAAGTGCGCCCCAAAAAGTTCATATTCATATGATTTATAGAAAAAAATTAAAAATAAAATACTCTGAGATGTCAGATCTAAATTAGACAATAAGCTATTCACTTGTGACATTATGGCTGAAACCATCCCAGTCATCTATTTAGATCAAATGGCTAGGAAATGGGGGATAAAAGAAAAATATATAGGAAACGGTTTGTACGAGTCCATGTAAAAATGAGTCACCTATTAAAAATTTATTTTCGAGATGAATGTTTGGATCTAATTTTTAAAGACATGTAATTTCTAACATGGAGATCATGAATATGAAAAAATTAATAAATTTTGAAAATTTAAAATAATAATTCTATTAACAAATATTTGGACCGTTAGTTTCAATTGTTTTTAGATGGACCACCTATTTGTAGCCATCTTAATACCTCGGGGACAACATACATAGAAATGCTTCCATCACTTTTTTTGCTACAGAACTATTAATGTTTTTGGTTGTCCATTGGACACTCACAGGACTTAAGCCCACAGCTATAGGCCAAATTTTTAGGCCCATGAGGCTTTGATGCCCTTCATTTAATTGAAAATTTTGAAGTCTTAGTTACCTTGTCGATTATCTTTTCAGTATGTTGATAATTCCTCTAAGGACTTGGTTTCTATGCGGCCAAACCCGCATACGTAGAAATGTGGGCTTTTTAATAAATATATTTTTGAGATGGATTTTTGGACTTAATATTTAAGAATATGTAATCTCTAACATGGAGATCATGAATATGAATAAATAAATAAATTTTAAAACTAGAAATAATAATTCTAGTAAGAAAACATTTGAGCAGTTAATTTCCATTATTTTTAGATGGAACACCTACTTGCATCCATCTTTAAGAAAGATGCTTTATACTTTTTTGGACCGCCTATGCTGTCATGCGGTTGCCCGCATGAAACAATTTTCCTTTCCATAATCCTTGATGCTTCTTCCTTTTATATATATTTTTTTCTTTTTCTCCCTCTTTTCTTTTGTTTTTTTTTTTTTTGTGCTTTCCTTTCTACTTTTAGATTTTTATGTACGGACTAGGTAAATTACCAAAATTTACTCTTTATTTCATAAATTTTGTAACTTTATCGTGAGGTCCTATTCCCCCATTGTTATTATATTTTCCAAATTTTATCTCGGTTCAATCTTTCAAACATCAAACCGCTTATTTTTTATTTTTAACATTTGTTAGGGGTCTGATATATATATTGAACTGCCCCATTTGTAGGACAGTCAGATAACAACAACATTGGACTACCATATATTTTTGGGCCATCTTTCTTTATACGGCAGTCTAATATTACAAACATCGGACCACCATTTTTCATAGTTTGTTATGTTCTAGTAGTCCAAGCTTACAACAAAAATGTAGTTAAAAATGAGTCCGATGTTCAAAAGCTTGGATCACTGAAAAATAAAATGATAAGAAAAAATGAAATATGATATTTGAAATATTGGACTACCCCACAGACAACGTTAGGTAAAAAACATAAGGTGGTCCAATATTGCACTTATGACTGCCCTTCAGATGGGGCAGTTCTAAATATTTCATATCGGACCAACCTACTAATGTAAAAATAAAAAATAAAAAATGATCAGTTGGGGGAAAAATAGAAAAACAATAATAAAAATGGAAGGGAGTAGGACTTCGTCATAAAATTACAGAACTTAATGACTAAAGAGTAAATTTGGTAATTTTACCAAGTATGTTAAAATCCATTCTACTTGTGCTGACACACTTACTTTTTACGCTCATATTGGTGCAGCTTATTTGCGGTGATGCAAGGGTTTTGGAAGAGCAAAACCAAGAAACCCCATCTACAAACGACTTTGATCCTGAGAAAAACTTCCTTTACTATAATTATGCCAAACAAAAGACCCCATCTACAGAGGGCTTTGATCCTGAAAATATTATCTGGTACCATAATTATGCAAAAAAAGATGAAGATAGCAACACTATATCTCACCATCCCCTAAGCTCATCTCAAACAGCATCCACAAAGGATTTTGAACCTGAAAGCAGTGTCAAAGAAATGGACTCACATTCTCATATAACCAGCCATGATCGTGCTCCAGGATCCGAAAATGTTTTCTTCCACATGAAGGATCTCAAGGTTGGAAACAAACTTGACCTCTACAATATGGTTGACAAAACCTTGGCAGCCACCTCCCCTCTACCACGCCAAGAAGCCGATTCCATTCCCTTTGCATCTGCTTCACTCCCTGATATCTTGCATCGCTTCTCGATCCCTCCGGACTCACCTCTAGCTAAGAAAGTAGCAAGGAACCTTCACATATGTGAGTCTCCCCCATTAATGGGCGAACGCAAGTTTTGCGCCACAAGCCTCGAGTCCCTGCATGACTTTGTCTTATCGATCTTGGGGCCTAAAGCTAAACCCCAAGTGCTGGCAACTACCTTGCACAACGAAGAGAATCGTCCTCCCCTTGTGCAATCTTACATTGTGAAAGAGATTATGCTTCGATTAACACCACCATATCTGCCCGTTTGTCATCCAATGACTTACCCGTATACTGTGTTTTATTGCCATGTCGTGGTTAAAACCACGGCCTTGATGGTGAAGCTAGAAGATGAGGATGGAAGCAAAATGGATGCTGCAGCAGCTTGTCACTTGGACACCTCTGACTGGGACCCCGACCATGTTTCTTTCAAGGTGCTTGGCATCAAGCCAGGCACTGAACCTGTTTGCCATTTCTTTCCAGAGACTCACTTGGCTTTCATTACGACTTCTCTCGAGGCAGCCGTGTGATCATGATCCTGAACCATGTTGGATGGTCAGAATGCCATTGCGTTTGCATGTAATTGGGTTTGTGTGTTAGTAACAAAGGCATTCTGTAGTTATAAATAAGGTAATTTTCAACCATGTCCGTCCTCTTATCATGTGGTGCTTTTATCAGCAGTGTCATTGTAGTAAACCAGTCTATGTTTTTGTAATGTTGTTTCAACCATGTCCCTCCTCTTATCATGTGGTGCTTTTGTTAGCAGTGTCATTGTAGTAAACCAATCTATGTTTTTGTAATGTTGTTTTTTTTGCGATAAAGCATTTCTTAAAACCTATAATACCGTGCACATTAAAAAAAGGAAAATGGTTCGATAGGGTTGCAGCCCTATCAAAATAAGGAAAGCCTCATCTCATGATTCATTAAAAATTACAATTTAAGTATTGAAAAACCTCAGTAAAAATCTAAATTGAATCGAACTCGAATCACTTCCCAATATATTTTCAAGGGAAGTTGTTAAAACAAGATTTCGACTATTTAACATTTTAACAATATATTTTTACTTAATTTCAAAATTCCCATGAAAATAAACATGATTTTGACTTGGAATTGTTGAAAAAAGGTAAATAGTTAAATAGTTGAAAAATGAGGTGTATTTTTATAAGGGAAGGTATATAATGAGACCATTTACTTTTGGTATAAAATGTTCACAATTAATCTTGTCCATTAGATGTGAAATTGGATGGTTGTATTTATTTCATTCATCAAGGTCAAAGTTGAAAAGAAAGTTTCTCGAACTTTGTGACACACTCAAGGTATCAGATTTCACATCGGATGATTGCAGGTAATTGTGACCTCCCTGTACCAAAGGTAAATGGTCTCATTGTATACAATCCCTTTTCATAAATCTCCTATTTTCAGTCATTGTGTATTTTTATAAATATCGTATTTTCAAAATAAATTCATATTAATTTCAAAAATGCACCTAACATTTTAAAAATTTGGTAGAAATACCTCTACAACTATGGGAACTTATTTAGGAACTACATTGGTGATATTAAGAAATTAAAACTCCTTCCATATGTTTGTACTCAAGTGTCACATGTTTAATGTATTTAAACATGCTTAATATACACATTATTTTAAATTTTCCTTATTTTATTTTGAGATATACACCTAAAAGGCTTCAATCAAATAGGCACTTCCCTTTCCCAGCAAAAAAAAAGAGCCCTCTAAAATGCACAACTTTAATTCGGGCCATTAAAATGGAAACTTTGGCATTAAAATCGATTATCTTAACCTCGAAATTTATGAATGTAAAAAAAAAAGGATTTGAAATCATAAAAACTAGGAATTGTATACAATAAGACCATTTATTTTTGATACAAGGTGGTCACAATTACTTACAACCATATGATGTGAAATTTGATAGCTTGGGTATGCTACAAAGTTCAAAAAAATTTCTTTTAAAGTTTGATCTTGGTCAATGGAATAAATGGAGCCACCCAATTTCACATCCAATGGTCAAAATTGATTGTGACCACCTTGTACCATAGGTAAATGGTCTCATTCTATACTTTTCCTAAAAACAATATATCTTGTAACTATTATTTGGAACATCCATTTTTTAAAATTTTTACTGTTTATAGATTTGGTCCATCTACATCATTTTTTAAGTCGTCAAATTTCAAAATTATGGATGTATACATATTATCAATATTAACACAAGGCTTTCTAGCACATTGCTGCATTCTTTGGCATGATAGTGTGCTTGATATTTATTGTTTAAGGGGGGCACCTTACACAAACCACTCAAAATAAAGAAAGGAAATGTATACAATAAGACTATTTACTTTTGATACATGGAGGTCACAAATATCATTGACAGCTAGATTTGAAATTGAGTCGTAGCAAATGTGCCATTATTTGAGCACACGGTCCAAAATAAAATTTCTCGAATGTTGTAACACATTTTCATCTATTGGATTTTTCATCCAAATACTAAAAATGATTGTTACCTCCTCGTACAAAAATAATCTCATAGTATATCATCATCATCATCGTCAATGCTTTTCTCCTTCGATTAACACCACCATATCTGCCAGTTTTTCATCCAATGACTTACCCGTATACTGTGTTTCATTGCCATGTCGTGGTTAAAACCACGGGCTTTCATGGTGAAGCTAGAAGGTGAGGATGGAAGCAAGATGGATGCTGCAGCAGCTTGTCACTTGGACACCTCTGACTGGGACCCGACCATGTTTCTTTCAAGGTGCTCGGCATCAAGCCAGGCACTGAACCTGTTTGCCATTTCCTTCCAGAGACTCACTTGGCTTTCATTTCGACTTCTCTCGGAGCAGCCATGTGATCATGATCCTGAACCATGTTGGATAATCTGCATGCCATTGTGTTTACGTGTAATTGTGTTTTGTGTGTTAGTAACGAACGCATTCTGTAGTTTTAAATAAGGTGATTTTCAACCATGTACGTCCTCTAATCATGTGGTGCTTTTATCAGCAGTGTTATTGTAGTAAACCAGTCTATGTTTTTGTAATGTTGTTTCAACCATGTCCCTCCTCTTATCATGTGGTGCTTTTATTAGCAGTGTCATTGTAGTTAACCAATCTATGTTTTTGTAATGTTGTTTTTTTTGCGATAAAGCATTTCTTAAAACCTATAATACCGTGCACGTTAAAAAAAAAGACAAAAAGAAGAAAAAGAGGATTTGAAATCATTAAAACTAGGAATTGTATACAATAAGATCATTTAATTTTGATAAAAGGCGGTCACAATTACTTACAACCATATGATGTGAAATTTGATAGCTTGGATATGCTACAAAGTTCAAAAAAATTTCTTTTGAAACTTGAGCTTGTTCAAAGGAATAAATGCAGCCACCCAATTTCACATCCAATGGTCAAAATTGATTGTGACCACCTTGTACCATAGGTAAATGGTCTCATTCTATACTTTTCCTAAAAACAATGTATCTTGTAACTATTATTTGGAACATCCATTTTTTAAAATTTTAAGTGTTTATAGATTTGGTCCATCTACATCATTTTTTAAGTTGTAAAAATTCACAATTATGGGTGTATACATATTATCAATATTAACGCAAGACTTTCTAGCACATTGCTGAGTGTGCTTGATATTTATTGTTAAGGTGGGTACCATATGCAAACCACCCAAAATAAAGTAAGGAAACGTATACAATAAGACTATTTACTTTTGATACAAGGAGGTCACAAATATCACTGATCGCTAGATTTGAAATTGAGTCGTTGTAGATGTGCAATTATTTGAGCACAAGGTCCAAAATAAAATTTTTTAAATGTTGTGACACATTTTCATCATTTGGATTTCACATCCAATTACTAAACGTGATTATGACCTCCTCGTACAAAAATAATCTCGTAGTATATCATCATCATCATCGTCAATGCTTTTTTCCATCTAATTGGGGCTGGCTACACAAAACTTGGTTTGCCAGTATGCTCTATTAAGGGTCATACCCTCAATGAGATTATAAGTCCCCATATCTTTTTTCATGGTATATAATCCCAAAAAATAATTATGTACCAATGATGGTCAAATATCAGCAATATTTTCAAGTATAACGACAACTACATATTGATGCAAAGGTAAATTTACTGCCAAGCAAAGATTGAATAATAAAGGCCTATTCATTTTTTAAGTTAGTTCATTTGCTCATATTTATGAATCCCCATTTTTTAACCTAACTTACAATCAAATCCAATGCAACGACCGAAGTTAGATGGGACCAAAGGAGTGCAATAACATGAAGAAATATGAATCAATATTGTTAGATTCGCTTCAAAGTCATACCCTCGGTGAGGCTATAACTCCTCATATCTCTTTTCATGGTATATAATCTCAAAAAATAATATCGCCTTATATGTTATGTACCAATGATGGTCAAATATCAGCAATATTTTCAAGTATAACGACAGCTACATATCGATGCAAAGGCCAATTTACTGGCTAGCAAATATTGAATAATAAAGGCCTCTTCATTTATGAAGTTTGTTCATTTGCTGATACATGAATCCCCATTTTTTAACAAGTTACAATCCAATCCAACGCAACTGTCAAAGTTAGTTGGAACCAATGGAGTGTATGAATCAATGTTGTTAGATTCGCTTTAGAGTCTTTTTTGGTTTGACGAGAAAAATGAAGCAATTCGGTATTTTGGCTGATTCAAAGGAAGACTTTAGAATTTTTTTAATTTAATATAAATAGATTAGATATTTATACAAAATATATAAAACCAGCGTTTTAAAAATCGCTGAGTCGAACCGGACTCGCCCGGTTCGACTCGGAATTCATGAAAATGGACCGGATCGGTTTAAAAATCGAGAGAACCGGACGATTCCGCACAGTGACTCGCCGATTCACTGTGCGGAATCGGCGAGTCCGTGAAGAACACGGGTTGCACAGTGTTCTTCACGGATTCTTTCAAATTTGTCATTTTTTTATCATTTTTTTTGTTTTTTTTGGCATGTGATCTGATTTGCAGGCTGTAAACAGCTTTATTCAGCTTTTT